CAAGTTGTTTTTTAATAAAAATAGCATTTTTTATTAAAAAAGTTAAAGTTGATGAGAACAAGAGCCAACATTAAAAACCTCCACATACCTAACCCTTGGAAATATGCTCGCTTCTTCCATATTAAAGGAGCGATCTAAACTTAAAAAAAAGCTGTTATCTCTCGAAGGACCCAAATCCATGGACGAATACTATCTAGCCATGCCATCTTTTCTTTTCAATTTTTTTTATGGTTTGATTTTAACTATAAAAGAAAAAAAATTGCAAGTATTGGCTAGAAAAAGAAAAAAGAGAAATATGCCTCCTCCACAGTTAGAAAGAAGAAAAATTGAACTACTTTCTTCCTTTTTTTCTTCTGTGATACTTACCATCGCTTTTTCCCGCTGGAAAATATGGTTTACGCATATTCTCTCTTCTCTTTGCCGACGACCAAAAATGATGGGAGCTTTGTACAAAATTCTTCATACAGTTCGGGTAGTAGCATATGTAAAAGATCATAAAGTTCGCACCCAAAAAAAAAGAATGTCTGCCGCAGATTCTTGGTCAAGACTTAACAAAAATCCAAATGTTTTAAATATCGCAGCTATAGATAACATCGATATGAAAGATGCGACCTTCCAATATGGTAATATTTTTGAAGAAGTTCACAAAACTGTATACGCAACAGTAAGAATGGTCTTTCAATTCCAATGTCCAGAGCTTGCCAACTTGAACGATGATTCGATGGAAGACTATTCTCTTTTTGGCATAAGTCCTATTATGAAACAATGGCAAACGAAAGTAGATTTAGTCTTTGAACAATTAGTTAATCAAAGGCTAACTTTTAGTAATGAACATATTGATGAAGCTATTAGAAAAAATATAGATTCAACGATGCTTATCAATCCCCCGAATGTCGTAATTCTTAAACCGGGAAAAGCTCCAAGCAAAAACGAGCATGTTCACAACGCCGTCGATATGTTTCTAGAAGATTTCGGTTATATAGAAGATGGTGTGTTAAATTTAGTATGTGATGAGGCAATATATCGCCACATGAAAGACTACAAAAATGAAGACCAAACCGTGTATTGTATTTTAGGTCAATGGCATACAAGCAAAGCAATGTGTAGTGCATTAATCGCTGCTTTTTCAGGTTATGGGCTATTTGGTCTTGCTGCACGGCTTGGTGTTAAGTTTCTTGATAAACTTGAAAAAGTTGTTGACTATCTGGCGACATTTCATATACTTGAACTTCTTTGGACGGCCGTAGGAATTGCAATTCATCGATATGCTAAAAAAAAAAATATCTCTATTAGTGATATTCCTGAAACAAATAACAAAATATTAAAAGTGTGGTATAATTTCTATCAGTGGGCAGGATACTTGAAATTGCACAAGTTTGGTATTTGGATAGGGAACTTCGATCTACAGATTCATAGTTTGATGGCATTTGCACCTTTATTTCATATTACAAGAAGGTATCGATATGCAGAGTCTGTAGCACGATTTATATCAGATATTCAAATAATCCACAGCTTCTTCAAAATCTTCGAATGGTGCCTTCAATTAATTTGACTCAAAAAGGACATTATCTCGCTATTGATGAGAGTTTAGAAACATACGGAGTAAAGTTTCTAAAAGAAAATATAACTGGTCATGCTTCAAATTTAGAAAATCTAAACCTGAATGTCGAATCAGCACAAGATGAATTTGAACGACTTGATTTGGTAATTTCAGTATTTACCAATGATTATTCAATAAGTAGAAGTCCACGGTCCATCAAAAATCGTCAAGAAGCCACTTGGAAACTAAGTGATGAACTCATGTTAGTATTTAGCAACGAAGAGCCAGAAACTTGCACATTATTTGCAAAAACTACACAACTTACAGAAGATGGATACCGGCGAATGTTTACTTGCTACAAATTAGGAATCCAAAAGATAAATGATATTGTGCAAAATGTTTCTGCACAAGTGAAAATAAAATTAGGCAAACGAATTCTAATACCTATGAAAGTAACAAAAAGTAAAAAAAAGTGTAAAAACAAAAGCTAAACAAGCAGTAGCAGAAGAATCTCAAGCTTCAGAATTACAAGAAGATATGGAGATTGAGGATTTTAACCAAGACCTACAATCTTATGTTTCAGAATTACGTGATGATATGGAAATTGAGAATATCGGCCAACAACAAAAAAAACAACATTCGACACGCAAACTCAATGAACCTATCATAGAACAAATTCTCGCAAAGCTTGAAGAGTATAAAGACTCCACTGTCTTATCCGGAAATGTTGTTAAAGAACTTGTTGAAGAGTTAAAAATTCATACCGATTATTGGGATTCAAAACGAATTTGAGATCGGTGGTATAATCGATATGTAAGACCAAGAAAACGAAAATCCCGGTCCTAAACTTAAAATCATTATTGTATTGAATTAATATTAATAAAAATTATTTAAATTATTTAAAAAAAAAGCAAATTATAAAAAAAAAAACTCGAATTAATATGATCTACATATCCGTAAAACAGTTTTTCCTGATTTTCTTCATTACATTCATAATGCACCAGCCTTTTGCAGATGCATTTTGGCGAAAGCTCTCACTTCGGCGCATCTAATTATCTATTATTTATGCCAGGTACTTGAAAACTGGAGAAGAATCAAGCGAAAGAAGGCAAAATAATTGCATACTTTCGAAGCTATATTACTTTACAAGGAAAAGCTTATTTTTTATATTTTTTATATCTTCTGATTCGTAAAGACCTCGGCAACAGATTTGTTTTAAGAAACATTGTATGTTAAAACTAAGGTATCAGGTGAAATTTTTAAAAATGTAAATTCGTCGATTTGTGTAATTTATGAAGATCATATGATAAAATTTTGGATGTGACAAATCGTGTGACTGTTATGTTATTACATAATTACAACAATCTTGAATTAAAACTTAGCAAATAATAAATTATAAATTATAATTATAATTGTATGATAATATCAATATTGGATCATATAATAATAAATATTATAAAATTTGTTCTGTTAGAACAAATGGTTAGCTGAAATGTGCTATACAGTGGCACATGTTAGCCAACTATTTGCTCTGGCAAAACAAATTTTATAATATTAATCATTGCATGACCAATATCTTATACCACAAAATTACACAAAATTCTCTAAATTAATTCATAAAATTATACAAAAATCCCTTCAAAATCAAATCACAAAAAATCACAAAATTTATTTTATACCACTACAAAATTTGAGTTATATCACTACAAAAAATCATCATCTCTAACTTGAACTAATAAAAGGAGTGTCGCTGAAAAAAAACATAAAGTTTGTTATACCTCTGGGTTCTAAAAAAAGGTCTAGTAGTTTTGTTGACAAAAATGTTGTTCTACCAAAATTTGCTATGTTAAAGAGTGCCATTTGCATTTTTTTTTTTGTTTGCATTGCTTCTGGCTTGCATGCCAAACATGGAGCAGAGTCTTCTAGGCCAGATTAACTATTTATATTCCTACAAACCACCACTAAAGTCTTCTCAGAACTGTAGCCTACAGAGCTTTATCGATGGAAATTCACCACCAGAATCTATAGAGCTTGCCAAGAGTGCTACTTGCCTTTTTCTCTTAACTAGGCTTCTAGCTTGCATGCTGAATAATAGTGAGGAGTCCCCGTAGCTAGTTGATCTGTTCATCGAAATGGCAGTTCACTTGGTTAATTTATTCAATTTCCGACTAATTAAAATTTTCCTTCAATCCATTGAGTGAGGTGTCAACTTGACACCCTATATACAGCTTTAAATTAAGGCCATGTAAAATTAAATGGTTTTCATAGTCAATTTTAAAATTTTTTTTTTATGTTTTGATAACCGGGTGAATTGTTTTTAAAAAAAGTATATATATATAAAATTTATAAAATTTTTATATATTAAATTTTTATTGAATATAAGCATAGATTATTTAAAGACCTTTTTTTAAAATTTTATTTAATGAAAAATATTTGAAAACTATAACGAATCTTTATATAACGAACTCTAGATATAATCAACTCAAAATTTTCAAGTTTTGTAACAGTTCTATACAAAAAACATTATGGGTTCTCAATAAAACATAGTAGTTTTCTATAATGATCGTTATAGAAAGAGTTGGCTGTTTTTTTTTTTATGATAATGAAGTAACGTTAAAAAAAACTAAGAAAAAATTTTATTTAAGGAAACTATAATAAATATTGGAAATTTATTTAAGTAATAAAAATTTTTTAACAGATAAAGTTTGAAGATAAAAAGTTTGGATTTTATTAATTTTTATCTGGGTAATAGAATACAGCTAACATAATAATTGCGTAGGCAGACTATATAAAATTTTATAAGTTTAGAAAATATATAAAAGTTTTTTTTCACAATGTAATGCATCAAAGCCCAATTGCTTACCAATAACATAGAGCCTTTTAACCAATTTGATCTTCCATCCTTTTGAAATTGTTAGAAAAATATTATAATTTAATAATAATAATAATAATAATAATAAGTACATATCAACTATTTAATATAAATGTGTAGTATTACCTGAAGCAAATAGTTAATAATCCAAACAGAAAAAAATAGAATAAATGTTTCAAAAGTCCCAAAATATAAAGTTAGTGGCTGATTAATTATCCACCCTATTATTACTAGAATAGGTGCTACGCCTGAAGTAATTCGTATGGATGATCCAATAGAAGTATCTTTTGAAAAAAAAACCAATAAATTTCAATGATATTACATATTTAGGCTGTTTTCAAGCAGCTCTCTCAATATGACCTACAGTACTAGTAATCGAGATGCTCATTTCGTTTAACCCAAAATCAATTTTGCCGAAAAATTTATTGTACGAAATCGTATTTTAAATTTTGGCTAGTCAGAATAACTCTAAAAAAAGATTGTTTTTAGGTCGATGTTTTTTGACTGAAATGATCATACACAATCTTTTTTTTAACCAATCAATTCATTTTATTAAACATAGAGAGATCTATTTGAAAACAACCTTAGTCAATAAATATAAAAATTACCAATAGGCATTGAATTTACTAGAGCAGAAGTAATTGAATTTAAACTAAGGCATAAATAAATACATGTGTTAATAATTGGTATGAAAAATTACACATGTATGTAGAAAATTAAAATTACATACTAGTCAGATGCATTACCAACATTTGGAATTAATATTAGGCCTACAAATTTAGCTGAGATATTCCAACTTTCGGTCAAGCCGACAATGCTTTCAGAAAGATAGTCCGCACAGATAGTAACAATAGTAGTTAAAAGAATTAACCTATGTTAAATGTGAAATTTATTAATTACGATTTCAAATTTTGGTTAAATAAAACACAACTTACATAGGTATAGTTACATAAAGTGTTGTTTCTGGTTTCGATTTTAATTCGACTTCAGATTCATCGTAGATATCAAGATAAGATTCATCGTAGAAATCACGATGAGTTCTACTCTTAAAGAAGATATAACTAATATACATAAACAACAAGATTATCGACATTTTACGACTTATATCCAATTCTGTTTGTTGATCAGAATCTACAATTGTTGAAGTATATACTGTTGGAATTATAATCACAGAAACCATCAACATTAAAAAGGATGAGTATATTTGTGCAGCTACTAAATTGAATTCCATTTCCTTATATCTGTATTAGGATGTGGTCAGTAATTACTTAAATGAACAATATGGAGCAAGTTTTCTGCAGAATATGAATTTACTTCATGCCGCCTAGAAAAGAACTATATCCATAAACCTAAAATGAACATAATTATTATTAGTTAGTTATATATTTTAATAATTACAAAAGCAAGGAATTATTTAGACTTATACTGGAAGAAGGTCTGATAAGATTGAGCCAAAAATCGATGCTAGTAAAAGTTGATCGTATAACGGTTCCTTAATGCAAAAAATAAAAAAAATAAAAATTATGCTGACTAACAAGATGTATACCTTGAACTACAGTAACTAGCCCATCATTAAGCATAAGGGTATAAGTGATAAATTCAACTAGATTGCCAAAATTGCCAAATACATTGCATAACCACCATTCAACTGGCGATGCAGAACTTAAAGAAACTTCCCTTGCCACTGCGGATAAATTGCGTCAATACTATAGCCGAAAAAGGATATCAATGATATTTCAACGATATTTACTGGAATACTGAAAGTAAATTACCATAATATAACAGCCACGTTAAAGGAATAATCGCCAAGGAATTCAAAAGGAAAATCGCTGTATCTGACCAAATTGCAAACTTGCTCACAATCCCCAAAGGAACAAAAATCAGAAGTAAATTAACAATAGAAGAATTCAATATTGTCTTTATCGATGAATAAATTGTAGGTGTCTCTGAAAATTGAGATAATTGAGACTCTTCCATTTATTTAATACGTTAAAAATAAAAACCTATGAATTTTAAATTGAAAAACTTGATCAATTTGCAATTACAGTTTTATGAACTTTTGCAAAGCCAAAGCCACTCTGGCGAAGTTCCACCATCTATACATGTATAAAATTCATGTGAGTGATTCTAACGCATAGAAATTGATTGGATTCAATTGAAAATTCCCCATTGTTAATTCATTATACAATTTTTTTTTCAAAATTATATATCTTTTTCAGAACAAATACTCAAATAAAAATTCTCAATTTCACATATATAATAGAACATACGTTCTGATAAGAAACATTGAATTGATCTTATTTTTTTTTTTTTTACAAAATTACAAATGATTCGATATGCAATGTAGAAATGTTATCCTGCTTAAGCTGGTTAGTTTAAACTGTTTACTCAAATGTACAATATAGAGTAGAATTATGCTTGTTTGAACAAGTTAGTCTAAAGCCTTATACTTATTACAACATATTTTATGATTATTTTGACTTTTGAGATATTTGTTCGTTGGCACGCTTGTGGCCTGTTCAAACAAATTGCTTCAGCCATTTGTGTAAGCCAAGCATTAGTGTTCCGTAAAAAATCGAAGTCCGGACCCAATGATTTAAATTTGGTGACGTTCATGATCCGGACGTATCTATGTACTGTATCATATTGAAAATAACACGCAGGAGTGTGATTTCGCATTTTGCCCCAAATTAAAGTTTATTCAGACCATTACTCGAAATGGGGCCTTGCAGTAGAAGGCGGAACCACCTAAAAATGAAAATTGAGTTTTATTAGATTCGGGTAAATTTCAATGTGTGCAACATTTTTCAATTATTAATGTTAATTTAAAGAGAAGGATTTCATATTGAATATATTTTTTTAATACTTAAATCAGAATTATACATATTGTTTTTTTTTTAAAAACCAAAAATTAAAAATAGTCCAATTAAATAAATAAGCTTCAATTGGATTCTAATTTTTGTTACCTACCAACATATAAATATAAAATTAACCTTAGTCAGGTTAGGATTAAAATTATCATAAATTATAGATAGGATTTTTTAAAATGCAATAATAAATAATAATGAAGTTACAAAAACTAATTATTGTTATAAGTAAATATTAAGTAGAGAATTTTTTTTTTTTTTTGATCGTGAAGAAAAAAGTGAAATTATATTTGATTATTAATAATATTATAAATAAGCACTGCAGAATGAAAACCTGTAAATGAAGTTTAAATTTATTTTGTAGTAAATTTAGCCATTGAAGGATTGATTTTTAAATTCGGTTTAATGTAGTTTCAGAATTATGGTTGTAATGTGGTAAACCATATAATATTCAATTCTTTTAGGGCTATTTCGCTATGATGAAAAGCTAAACTTGTACTTTCGACTTTTACTCTAATTTTTTCAGGGGAAACCCATACAAACTGCAAATAATTTCTGATAATTTCCGAGGAAGAAATGACCAATCAATATAATGATTTGGCATCTATTCAAAAGTAAGTAGGGATAAAAAAAAAATTTCTATATTGGTTTTGGAATTTTAAACCCAGAAACAGTATATCATTAAAATCAAGGCAATACGAATTAAGGATACAAAAAGGTCCAAGGTTATGTCTTAACCATGACATTCACAGTTTCTACATGATAATATCGAAACTCGATTATCTATTTATGATTTTTAAAAACCAAATTTCGTGCGTTTACGCATTATACATACGTATCTTTGATATAGGTATAGGTAATGCATGCAAAAAAAAATAGGTTTTGCAATAGAATTTTCACAGTACTAACTAAAATAATGAGTAAGCTCTGTAACAGAATAATACTTCCAATGTAAACCAACTCACCTTTAACCTCATACTGGGGTTATCGAAATAGTGAATAAATTCTGTAACAGAATCTTTCAGTAGCTCGTGATATAAATTACGTCAATTCTGATGCAAACTAACTTACCTTAGCTATCAGAACATAAAGCTCTGTAATAGAATAATCACAGTAACTCATGATAGAAACCACAACAATTCCAATACAAACTAACACAAACTTAAGTATTCATTATCATTACCGAACAGTGAGTAAGCTCTATAATAGTTTTTTTTTATGGTAACTCACAATAGAAATACAATAATTCGTGGTGAGCAAGTACTGTAATAAAAATTTTTAAGTAGCTCATAATAGAAATTACACCAATTCCAATACGTCAATAGAATAGCAAGTTAGTTTGTAACAAAATTATTTACAGTAACTTTATAATAAAACTCATGGCGATTTCAATGCAAATTAACCTATGGTATTAGAATAGTAAATTTTGTAACAGAAATATTTACAATAACTCACATTTAATCGCGACCAGAATAGTGAAGTAGTGAGTAAGTTCTGTATCAGAATGTTGTAATAGAATCATGATAATTCTAGTGCAAGTTAACTCATCCTATTCATAGTAGCTAATAAATCCAGAATTTTTTCAGTAGCTCATAAATAAATCACATCAATTTAAATGCTACTAATTCATCCTAAACACTTATTGTGGTTACTGTAATAGCGAGTATGTTCTGTAACAGGATTATTTTAAGTGATTCACGATAGAATTATGATAATTCTGATGTAACTTCTGTAATAAAATTATTTATAGTAACTCATAACATTATTCATAACAATTTCAATACAAACTGATCACATATTGACCACCGAAACAGCGAGTAAGTTCTGTAAAAAAATTATTTATGATAAAAATTATTGCAATTCAACACAAACTACTTTAAACCTTTATAAGTGCCCACATCTGGGACCAAATTTTAAAAAAGAAAAATATGAAAAAAAGTGTATTTATAGAGGTCATTTATATGGTTTGACCTGAACTTGAGTATGCTTTTAGAAAGAGTATCACTTACAGAGGGTACACTGCATATTATAGTCATTGGAATAATGAATAAATTCTGTAACAGAAATTTGTTTACAATAACTCATGATAAAATGTTTACTGTAAAACTCATAATGATTCTAATATAAACTCATTTAACTAGAATAGTAACAGGATTTTTTTAGTAACTTACAAATAAATGTTACTAACACACCTTAAGCACTAATAGTATTCACTAGAATAGCAAGTAAATTTTGTAACATAATCATTTGCAGTAACTGGTAAAAATTACAAAGATCCCAAGGCGCACTAACTCAATCTTAACCATATATTATAGTTACTAGAATAGCAAGTAAGTACTGTAATAAAGTTTTTTACTATAATTTGTAATAAAAAAATCATAACTTAATTGTGATAAAAAATATAGCAAAAAATTAGCTACTTAATTGTGATATAATAAAATTTTATAGTGTATAAAATCTTGTCCAAAAAATTTGTACTAATATAACACCACAAAATAACAAATAATATGTAAAGACTACAAAATATACACCAACAATTTCTCATCATTAATACAAAGCTCTATCTGTTTTGCTATAAAAAATAATATGAAATCAAGAATTGCACTAAGATTACATTATAACCAATATATAACAAAATTTAGTAACAGTAATACAATATCCATTATTCATCTAATCATGAACTCTGACGATCACTTGAACCAATACTTCTAACCTAAGAAAAATTGTAAAGACTGTTGGAGAGGTGTATAGCTACAGTAGTAGTTTGTAGTAGAGATCAGCGAGCTACAAACTATCTTTTTTTTTTAAAATTTACCATTGATAAAAGTCGCTTAATCATTACTTTTACATTTTATACATAATAAACAATGATCCCAACAAATTTCTAACCGATCTAAAAAAATAACTAGTTTATTTTTAATGCTCGAAGCTTTTAAAGCAAATAATCGATACCTTGATATTGTAACGATCGAAATGATCGAATGTAATAGTAGTAGAATTTGTAGATCGGGTAGATATAGTAGATTCATTAGATATAGTAGAAGTAGTAGACAGGTTAGATTTAGTAGAATCGGAAGATTCGTTAGAATTAGTACCGTTCCTGATGGATCGTCAGTACTGTATGAAATCCGATGTTCACAACGTTGATTTCAACTTTCCTAAATATTGGTCTTAAAATAATATAGTACCGTATCTATGCGAAAAATTTCCATAGGCATTATTCGAAACAAATAATTTGAAGAGAGCTAATAATTAATTTAGCAAAAGAATTATTAATATTAATAAAATTATGGTTGTATTCGGCTAAATTAAATATTAGCTCTCTTTGAATTACGTGTTTTAAAATAACGTTATTTCACACGAATCGGTAAGAAATTTGGGTTGAAAAACTTTATTAAATGATTGAATACTAATTTCCTTTTTTTTTTTTTTGAATTTTATGTTATGCGTTGATCTTATAATCTGGTTGGGCAGTAATAGTGGACTGTCAAATTTTTATGCAATAGCCTTATATTTCGATAGTAGTTTAGTTTTTAGACCCTTTCAGAAACAGTAATTTTGCTTATTATTGACTATAAAATAAAAATTTTAAAAAATTTACTTGTTTCCGCAAAGCAACTTAGCTAATGACTCCATAAATTGATTTTGTTGCTATTGCAACAAAAATTTAATTAGTAAAAATCGGTAAAAGGCGAAGCCAGTGAAGCTGAAGTTGAAGTTTCGGCAACTGGTTTATAAAAAAAATTTTATAAGTTTTTAGGAGGCATAGCAAAGATTTTGAAAAATAGAAAGAGTACGCTCAAGCATTTAATTCTATAAATATAGTCATTGATTGTGATAATTGAGCGTTATCATGATCATTATTTAATTTATATATGAAAAAAAAACATAACAAAATTTAAATTTGTTAATAAAATTTAAAATTAGATTAAGCTTTCTGCAATTATGAAACTGTTGTCTTTAGGTGAACTTAAAGATCATCCACTATTATTCTGGGTAGTAATAGAAAGCGATACCAACGATTAAATATGATGCCTATATAAATATTAAGATTTTGAATAAATTTCTAAATCTTAAGAAATGTACCAAACATCACGTGCATGTACATTGTCTCTAAGCACTGTTAGCATTAAAGAAATATTTACCAACAACATTTCGCCTTCAAGCCAGTTTGATCGTCCATCCTTTAAATTTTGTAAAAAAAATTTATCATATTGTTGCTAAAATTCAGTAAGACATATCAGATCATAACAAATAGATTACCTGAATTGAATAATTAACTATCAAAACCGCAACAACTAGAACGCATGTTTCAAAAGTTTCAAAAAATAAGGTTAATGGTTGATTAATTATCCAACCAATTAATATTAGGACAGGTGTCACACCCAACGCGATTTGCATGCTTGATCCAAGAGCGATCTCTTTAGTGCAGAAGAGATAGATGAGATAATGAAACATGTTTGATATGCGTAATATGGCGCGTCATTACAATTAAAAGGCAGAACTTACGGATAGAAACATTCATTCTATTTTTTAATGCAAAAATTACCGAACTCATGCTTGAAAATTAATGTACAAATTAACATTAAGGAAAGAGAAGCAGTTATAGGAGATTATAAAAAAAAATACGTACAGATCTGTAAAATTACCAACAATTGGAATCAATATAATACCAACAAATGTAGTAGAAATCTTCAAATTTTCAACCAGACCATCGATACTATTGACGAGAAATTTTGCACATATGATCACAAAGCCCGTTACAACAAGAAAACTATAAGATAAAGCATGAGAATATATAAATTTTTATTTTCAAATATATGGGTAAAAAAAAAATCTTTAGTATCTGTGGGCATGTAGAATTATTATAAAATTATAATATATAAAACCACCTATTTTGAGTTAACTTAAACTCTAACCCTAACGATTTATAATTTCGCTTAATTTAAATCGAAATAGCTAATTATAATTCTATACGCCACTTATACTAAAGATCAACCAAAAGTTCAAATACTCACACAGTTAGTGTCGCAAGAAGTGTTGTTTTTGGTTTTTCTTCATCTTCGTACTTTTCAAAAAAAAAAAAAAAAGTAAGTTAAAGAGTTAAGTATCGAGGCTATGGGATCCGTTACTCTATATTCTTCATACTTTTCAAAAAAAAAACCCCTAAATTAAAGAGTTAAGTATTGAAGCTATGGAATTTGTTACTTACATCTCTATCTTCTTCAAACTTTTCAAAATAAAATAAAATAAAGTGGAATAAAATAAAATAAATAAAATAAAAGATAAATTTGAAATTATAAGATACATCCACCTACTAACTCCTTATGAGAACTTAATTGAAAATGAAGATACTGAAAATACATCATTAGCAGGATAATCGCCGTCCCATGACTTAAAATCAACAGCCCTTCTCTAGCAGCACTCTCATTTTCAGTAGTGGAAGAATATGCAGCGGGAACTACAAGTGAGAGTACTGTCAGCGCCAAAATTGATCCCGACATTTGTGCTGCGGTTAAATTGAATTCCTGTTCTTTATGCCTATAATTTCAATGTTTTGGTAACTTTGTCGGCCAAACAAATTTTATCTGGCCAAAAAACGACAAATTCGGTCGAGTTTATATGTTCTTTTTTGCCAGCCAATGACAGAAACGGCAAAGAACTTGGTTTGGTCGATAAAATTGCCAACACGGCCCATAATAATTGTATGAAAAATAGCAACCCATAAAATAAATATTAATAAACATGGGTTTACCTCAAGCCGCCCAAAAAAAAAACCAAGTCCTTGGACCTGAAATTACAGTACAATTAATGTCAACTAAATATACAATAATATCATAATAATAACTAAGATGAATGGCGCAGTATAATTTATACCAAGAGTAAGCTTGATAAAATCGAGCCCAAAATTGAAGCTATTTAATTCAATTATAAGTTTATTTGTTTGCCATAATGCATTAGCGAAACTAATAGTTTAGTTATACCTTGAACCACACGAATCAACCCTTCATTAAGTGCGATAATAGATATAATAAATTCAACTGTATTTCCAAATACGGCACTTAACAATCCACCCACATTCCAGCCGGCTCTTAAAACAATTTCCTCGGTCGCTGCGAATAAGAAAGTGCAACAATGTTACACGGTCAAAAAATTTCATCTTTTAGGTAATATATATGAAGTCAAGTAATTACCCTTAAATAACAAGCCCGATAAAGAGATAATGGCCAAAGAATTCAAAATGAAAACAGCTGTGTCTGACCAAACGTGAAATTTACCTATAATCCCCAAAGGAATAAATATAAGAAGAACAAGATTAAAATAAGAACATGTCGCATATTCTTTCAATGAGCTAAAACACGTAGGCTGTCGACGAGGTGCTTCTTGTGATTCTTCTTCCATTTTATTATGAAATTTGGGTTTGACTAAAAACTTTTTGCAAGTTCACAAGAAGACGCCATGTATAAATAAAAAGGTTATTTATAAACAGAGAGCAAAAAAATTATTATCAGAGCTCTGATAATTGATGACATACATGACTGGTAACCGGTAACTTACTATAAGCTTATCAAATAATAATAGCCCGAGTCATTTGGCTACCGGAAAATGAATGCTACACGCCAGTGGTATATTTTTCCGAGAAAAACTATTATGCATCATACCACGTGATGAATCATTTTTCTAGAAAAGTTCTCGCTATTAACTGTTTCGCCTCCAGTAACAGTACCTCAATTCGACTATAATATTGAGAATATTTGTATATGGTTGGGGCGACTTAGATGCATTGTTTGTTTATTTGTTTTCATGATTGGCTGTGAAGTAGAAATCCTTGCAAACTTGTAAATAAATAAATTGTATTTTCGCCTCAGGTCTTGTCAAATTATCAAGCGGTCGAACTTAGAGATTCAGCAATGAATATTTTAGCCGCAGCAAGGTTTATTTACCTAGGGATGGACAAACCACTGATTTTTGAATCTATTGCGCAGCCTGCAAGTAAAAAAAAAAACAAATTTTAACTAAATAATAACCAGTAATATATAGTACAAATTATACTTATTTACTATATATTCATTAGGTAATATAGGTATTTAAACATATTTACTAAAATATATTAAACTACATAAATTGCCTAGTAAATATAGAGTAAATAAGTTATAATTTTACTATATATTACTGGTTATTATTTAGTTAAAATATGATTTTTTAACCAATGATAGTTTATTAATACTAATACGCAACATCAAGAGACTAACCGGAATTATACGAGCTAGCCTGAATGCTAAAAATTACACCGCGCAGTGGCCCAGTCATGCATTAAGCATCAATTTGTCACGGCAGATTTTGGTTTTTATTGGCTAACGGCCGGATCTACGAAATTTTGGCCCGCATTACGTAATAGTTTACATAGTTTTAGCCGGCATTAACTTTTTTATCTAAACTAGAAAATAAGCTTGCCTTATGGTAATTAACCCAGAAAATTTTTTACTTAATGAACGATTGCGATTATTGCTCTTTTCGATTTAGTTGGATCGATGAATTTTGCATATTTTTTTTTTGTCCGTGAGCCCCATGAATCCGTGAGTCTCATCATATAATATTTATTTGTAATTGTTAGTTGTTTATAATAACATAATAAACAACAACTAACAATTACAATTTAGTCAGTATATGCAGGATATAAGTATATATGAGACTCACGGATTCACGGATTTTATGAGGCTCACGGACAAAAAAAAATCTGCAAAATTCATCGATCAAACTAAATCGAAAAGAGCGATTATATAAAATCATTTTGATCCTTTTTTTTTTTGTGTGTGAGGTGTTGTTCTTATCTTTATTTGAGTTGTAGAAAATGCCTCCAAGGGCTTCTCTGAATACAATTCAAATATATAGTACAAAATATAATTCAATTACAGTTATCATTAGGCGAGACCAACTGGATTCTGTGTTTTACATTGCCCCCATCCCCCTCCTCTGGGGTCCCCCCTCTCCATCATAGTAAAAAAATTTTGATAAATACACATAGGGCTACGGGATATTTCGGAAGAATTTTATACAGTCGCGGATCAATTCGGAAAAAAAAATTTAAAAAAAAAATTTTTTTAAATCCCCCCTCTTCCGGAGGGGAGAGGGGGGTAATGTAAAACACAGAATCCAGTTGGTCTCGCCTTAAAGGATAAGAAGTCGATTTTTCTTTGCCAATCTGGAAAAGTTAATAATATATCTTTTTAATTCAAAATCAAAAATTTCTTGAGAATGTGAATAAATATAATAAGTGAATTGGATTTATTGAGATAGCAATACGTAATATTAAATCTCTGCTTAACTAAAATTATAGGGATTAATTCTATTAAAGCTAATTGAAGCATCTCCATTATCGAAATTGCAAATATTCTTTCACTTTTTCATTTGTGTAAATATCAATTGAAGTGCATTTATTTCCCATTAAAAGTAATAATAGGCCAAAAACCAATATTGCTATAACATGTTACAAATTAGGCGAGCCAACAATTTCTAATATTTTTATCTGGAGTCTCCCAGATTGAAATTTTTGCAAGAATTTTCTGAATTGAATGTTATCTCTAAGAGTACATATCAGATAAATTTTTAATAAAAATAATGAATTTACAAATAATGATAGGATAGACAAATTCTGTGAAAAACTTAGATTTTTAATCATGAAATTTTTAAAGATTCGAACTAAGTCATAATTTGCTAGTGAATATTTAGAAATAAAATTTTTTGCATTTGACTTGTGACCTCGCCGCCGCTAATGTTTTGAAAAATTTCACAAAATTTTAAAATTGATTAGAATCTGGTATCTTACATAATTAATACCTAACATGCGATATATAACCACATACAAAATATAACTACTATAATCTGATATATCTAGAAATAGTTTTTAGTTTGCCAGATATGATCTTGAAAAATTTTTTATAGCATTCATTATTGGCATGCTGAAATGCACCAGGTATTTATACGTAATTATGCATAATTTTTCATCAATGAAACAGCAGACAATATTTCAATATTTTTATAATATTATTTTAAATAATTTTACTTTTATTAGTTGTAAGATTTTGTAACAACATAGATTTAAAAGATGGAAATCATTTTCTAAAAATGAAAAAAAAATAAATGCCAAATTCCAAGACAAGTAGACCTAAGTTATTAGATAATGTTATTTCTCATAAGCATTCCATTTAAACTTAAGTAGTGCTTTTTCATTTAAATGTTTACAAAATTCTTCCATTTATCATTTTGAGCTTTTTTAAACGAGAAAGAATTTGTATTTATACTAGGAAACAATAATTCACTCCAAAAATTATACTCCTTTGGATGAGAAGCAAAGTTTGTAGAGGAATTGTAAGTATTATTAACTGTGGCCTATATAATAAATTCAGTAAAATAAATTTTGAAAAAGAGGATGATTATCTTAAAAATTTAAAAGAAAGTTAATCCAACAACTCCAAAGATTAGAAATTAATATATCATGAAATGATGTTTGACACATGATAGTATCTTTCATAACTGTAAAGATGTGAAAAAATAGATTTTGGATTTACAGAAGTAGATGAAACTATAAATCCTATCGAAAAAATAAAACACTTGCTATAAATGTAGAATGATTTTCTGATAGTATCTTCCAAAAATCTTTAAAAAATTTTCTTTTGCAAAATTAATATCTAAATTTTTATAGATTGGTTCATAACTTGAAGCAGGAGGAATTCGTCCTGGAGTTTAGTCCTCAAAGAGATTATTAAACATCATCTTTTCAAAATCAAAATCCTCAAATGACCATTCAATCATTCCAATATTAAGTATCTTAATGGTAGGAAGTTCACGGTAAAGATAATAAAATAGTCATATAATTACACCAATATGTGCAACTATAGTTATCCATTTTTCTATATATAATGAATGCGGTGTAATTATTGTGTGCATATATTAACAAGATCATATCGACTTTTTACCATGCATAGTTAGATCGTGCAACTATTGTATCATCTTCATGCAAGATATATTATCAAAATTTTCTCAAAATTTCAGGAATACAAATTTTTATTCATGCTTTTTTTTATAAAAATTAGATAGATGTTAATATTTTCATTGCAATTTCTTTTTTTATTTCTATTTCATGTATTATTATTTTTTCTCAAAAAACAAATCTAAATGCAACTCAAATGTCAGTAAAAAGTTTCTTTTATTAAAAAAAAATTATATTTCAAAATTTTATATATATTTTTTAAAAAAAAATAAATAAATTAAATAATTTCTACCTGAAAATTGATGAGTATCATTATTATCTTCAATTATCATCCCATCCAAAAATTGATGAGTATTATTATTATCTTCGATTATAGTCTCACCAGAAGATTGTTGAGTATCATTATTATCATCAACTTTAATTATATTAAAAGATTGTTGAGTATCATTATTATCATCTACAATTTCATTAATAGGTGGTGCAAACCGAAATTCTTGTAAACTACTTTCATTACATGATTCAGTAGAAGATAAATTTTCATCTGATAAAGATTGTTGAAAGTTATTATTATTAGTTGTATTATTAGAAGATAATACTGTTCGAGAACTTGTTGAAAATGATGATTTTTTATTTTTTGGAGGTGTTATGTTTTTGCGTTTTGGAGGAGCAGAGATGCCCTTTCATGTGCTTCCTTTATTT